GGATGTGCTGTATCAGGGTCCAGAGTCACATCCACTGCAAACTGCTGGACCCTCTTCAGCTCAGCCTCAAACAGCTTCTTCATCTGTTTACTAAGCGTCTCCTCTACCTGAGCCACAGCGCTCACCACAGTCCCCTCATATGATGGAGGACAGACTCTGACCTCTGTCCAGTCCTTGGTGGGTGCAGCAGCTTTCAGGGAGGAGAAGCTCTGGAGGAGGTGGAGGTGGTCTTCAGAGTGTGAGAGCTGCTCCACCTCAGTGCTCCTCTTCCTCAGCTCAGAGATTTCCTGTTCCAGCTCTGTGATGAAGCCTTCAGCCTGTTGCTCTGTGGTTTCCTGTTGCTCATCGATCTCCTTGATGAGCTGGATCAGGCCTCTCCCAACAGACTCCTTAAGAGCAGTGAAGACCTGAACACCTGCTGCTATTTCTCTGTCTGCACCTTCTTTACTGATCCTGACTGACTGTTTGAGCTCCTCAATCTTCTCTCGTCTCTTCTGGATCATCTGCTGAATCTCGGCCTCTGTCTTCCCCAGCTCTGCCTTCTTTCTTTCATATTCTTCTTTCAGAGGAACAAACTCATGTGTCCTGTGCTCTAAAACAGGGCAGTGGACGCAGATATACATCTGGTCAGTCTTACAGAACAGCTCCAGAGGTTTATCGTGCTGCCTACACATCCTGCCTTCCAGGTTCTCCACAGGCTTGAACAGCTGATGTTTTTTCAGACGTGGAGCTGTCAGATGAGGCTCCAGGTGAGTCTCACAGTAGGAGGTCAGACACACCAGGCAGGACTTCAGGGCCTTCACTTTGGTTCCAGTGCAGACATCACAGGGAACTTCTCCTGGTTTGGCAGCTTGTTGCTCTGAGCTGCTGCTGCTGGCTTTCTGTTGGGCTTCACGTCTGAAGTCAGCGACCATCTCAGAGATGAAGGTGTTGATGTTCAGCTTAGGTCTTTTCTTGAAAACCTTTTTACACATGGGACACATATAAGGGACATTAACATCCCAGTGGTGAGTGATGCAGGTTTTGCAGTAGTTGTGTCCACATGATGTGGAGACTGGATCAGTGAACACATCCAGACAGATGGAGCACAGAAACTGGTCTTCAGATCGTCGGCGTTTGGCGGCAGACATATCTACACAGAGAGTGTGAACACATTATAAAATACAGTTTTAATTATTTGTAGAAACAGAAGAATTGTGACCATTCTGTTAAATTTCTGGTGATATCAGGTAATAGTGAGTTATTCCTGCCGTGTTGTGATGGAGGTGCCCGACCCAAATCGTACTCTGAGCAACTGTGACCATTTAAACTTCGCTGCCAACTCAGGCTTGTTACACATTGGATCCAGATTTGTCCATTACTTGTTGTGTAGACAACCTTTATTGTGGAGTGGCTCAAAGTTCTGCTTATTTGGTAAAAGATACAATGTATTTCCTCTGGCCTCTTCACAATAAAAGCCTCCTACAGTTCACTGTTGGAAAGCTTTTACTGTGAAACAGCCAGAGGAAGTAGAGCACAGTCTGACTGTAGGAAGTGATCAGCAAACAGCCATAGAACCAGGAAAGGAGGGAACCTCATGTCCAAACCACAGAGACTCAGATCCAAGTAACAAAAGTCCTGAGAACTGACACAGAGACTGTTTATACTGGGATCAACTGGAGCTCAGCCAGTGTCCTACTGGAACCAGTTTGACCAGTGTCAGTATCAAATGAACAGAGTGAAGCTTCCTCCTGATCAGAGCTGAAGTTCTGTGCTGGTCCTGGTTGTTGACCCAGTGAATATGATCAGCTGTACTCACCAGCGTTTGGTAGAGACTCTGCTGTGGCCCAGAAGAACCTGATGATCTTTTGTCTCAGAGGGAAACAGGGACTTGTCTCGACTACAGCTCCGCTGTGGCTCTGACTTTTAGTTTCATTTCAGCAGTGTGACGTTGAACCCCTCCTCTTCTGACTGTTGTTCCTCCTCTAACTGCAGCAGTTTTTCCGTTTTAGTCTCCTCCCTCTGATTTAATCATTTATTGTGAAATAACTGGGTTTACCTGTATTAAGAGATGACTCACTGATCCTTGGGGGAGATGTGTTACAGCAGCAGACAGGCTGAGAGGAACAGAAACACTTACAGCTACTTCCTTTTACACCACTACTTCACTATAATAATACTGGTAGTATGTAATCAGGGATGAAGTGCAGGTGTGCTGTGTTTGTCAGAGGTTGGTGGTTCATGTGTCAGGAGGGTCTGGTGTTCGGCAGCAGCTTCCATGCTTTAGGCTCATTGTTCTGATATTATCTACCTTGTGGTCCACCTACTGTACTGTTCTGTCTGATAACACCAGTCAGTTGACAGGGACACTTCTTGTTACAACAATGTAGCACAATGTGAGAGAGGTGGTCAGATGTGCAGACAACTGTCCGGTCTCAGGATGTCAGAAATAAAATCAATTAATAAGGTTTTATCTGTATCTGAAAACCAGCGATTGTTGGATGGACTATACAGGACTGTTTGTCATTAGTACTGAAATTTGTCATAGAAACATGTTCCTCTTTCAGCAACAGACAGAAGTTGTTTCTCTGGCAAAACTTCAAAATTACACAAACATCAGGGTTGTGTTTCCTGGAAACTGCAGAAAACCTGTAGAGCAGCTGAAGTAACTATGAGGGGACTAGTGGACGGACAGCGGTGTTGGCTGAAGGTGGGCAACGGGCGTCACCTGCAGCCATCATCTGACCCAACGTGATGGTTCGATCTGATGTCAGCTATGAGAAAAACTTAGATTTTGGGTTTTGCAGCTGATTAACAAACGGCATCTCTATAAAGACAGCACGTCCATCATGATGTCCATTTAATGACTTCAACCAACTGTTTGTCTCCAACAGCCAATCAGCTCAGACTGACATAACATTATTTATTTTATTTTATTTTTTAACCATTTTGTGGAAACCTGACTGTGATCCCTCATTAAAAAAAATTCACCAAGAAGGTTCTTTTCCCATGATAATTGCCCCCAGTGTTTTCTACAATGACCTGATTTCTGGTTTTCTTTCTCTTCTTTGTGGTTTTTGTCCTGGCCGTGGAACATTGGACCAGCTCTATACCCTCTTCAGGGTGGTGGATGGTTCATGGGAGTCTGC